ATTTTTTTTATAATTTAATTAAATATTTTACTTTGGGGGAATTCAAAGATTTGAATTAACTGTAGAAATATGCCCGCATAATGAATTTTATTTAGACTGTTTATAATTAAACAAAACTATTTTGTTTGGGGTCTCAAAAAGTGGAATTAGTTGTTGAAATACCTCCTAATAAGAATAAGGATCTTTTATTTTTTGAACCTTTTATAATTATTACAAGTCCAGCGACTCTTTGAATTGAGTTAATAATTTTAGTATATATGTCAGCCACCCTCTTGCTAAATCCCAATTCCGCACTTCACATTTAATTGCTTTAAACCTTAATTCACGTTTAATTTCTTTTTATTGTTCAACTGTTTATTGTCAATAAAACTGATTGCGTTTTGTATTATAATTTAACATGGCAATTTGAGAATTTATGCAACATTTTAAAAGCGTTTAATAAATTAGTTATTGCCAGCCAGCTGATTATGAAGTGCTTTGCGTATATTTCACTGATTTTCAATGGATTAAATTGAAAAAAAAAAAATGATTTAATTTCCAGTTGAATGAAGTTGATGTCGTCGATAGGAAAATAACCGCAGCAAAAGTCGTATTGAATCAAAAGATACATATATGCATATATAGTTTGATAGAAATGTGTCTGTGTGTCTGTGTGTCTGTGTGTGTGTGTGTGTGTGTGTTGTGTGTCGTCTATGCATTAATGTGCTTGTGGTTGAGTTCACTTTTTCTCTAAACATTGTCATATCGCGAATCGTCCAAATGCAAATGAACGGAGATTAATTACACACGCTTAACACATACACACACACACACACACACACACACACACACATGCGCCGCAAATGCAAACGAGTCTCATTCGTTGATACCAGTTTTTATTGTTATTGCATTTACAACACTCGGCACCCCCAACGGCCCCCTGCCCCGGACCCGGCCCCGACCATCCCATGCGCTTTCTCAAAGCCATAACTATATCATTCTCGCGTCACTTGATATTGGCAGCGGAGACTCACAACACAATTTTGGTTAAATTATAATTTAATGAAAAAAATATTGTTTTCAAGGCGCAGTATGAAAAACAATAGTCTTCTTGTGGAGAGTAGCCGGCCAGCAGATACCCTGTAATAGTTGTGCTTCTCACGCGCTTAGCCCAACATTCTTGAATAACTTGGTTGTTAACAGTCCGATCTTTATGACATTTTCAGGGAACAAATATGGCATTGCAATGTGTGTACATACCAAGGCCCAAGGACTTAACTCTAAAAATTAGATTATTTGTACAAATTTGAAAGTAACTGTACACTATAAAAGAGCCCGCATACTAAATTAGGAGACTCTAGTTCATATAAACTCCGAAATATGCATAAATTAAAATAATATGCCAGCTGATTATCGATATTTATCGATATCTTTCAAACGAAGTAAACTTTCGATAATTTAAAATAAACTTTAACCGCAGTAAAAGTAGCTACATACCAAGCTTGTATTCTCTGGCTGATTATCGATACTTATCGGCAACTATCAAACCAAGTGAACTTTCGATAAATTGAAATAAATTTTACCTGCACTTAAAATGTAGCTAACATTCCAAACTCTTATAGCCTCACAGCTCCCTGCTGACTGTTACATACATATGCACAAGACCAGAATACCCTTTCTAGAGTAATTACAGGTTATGATATCTATAAGCAACAGAGCTGATTGTAATTTGTTGTATCTGTTGTGATTCGTTAAAATGAACAAGTTAGCCCAATGAATGGCGCTGGGTTGGTCGCTTATCTGTGCGCCAATAATAACAGCGAATAGCAAATAAATCGAACGCTTGCGATAAGCAGACGAGCGACTGGCATGCAAAAATCGATCAGCTGTCGGCTGGCCAGGTAATGGGCCATGTACCCGATGCACAATCAATTACCCGCCGCCCCGATACCTAATCAATATGGCAGCTAACTTTCGAATAACTCCAACGCCTCGACCCCTCTCACCAAGCATTCGAGTGTACTTCGACAATGTCGTCAATGGGGTGTCTACGAGGGGGGTCACAAGGGGCTTCTCCTTGAAGAAGCAGCTGACCAGCGATAAGTTTGTTTCTATTACGTAGCCAAGCACAAAATACTCCAAAATGCCGACCAACAATCGATCTACAACTGTCAGTTTGTCATAGTTGTGTCCGCCTGTGGGGTGCGTAATTCTAATTTAATGTTCTTTAAAATTAAAATATTTATCATAGTGAAACAACGCACGATCTACGATAAACTTTATTATGTTTACCCTTAAATTAACATTTTGTCATTCTGTTAACAGGCATTATGTTAACAAATGATTATGTAAAACGTTTAAACTATGTTAAACACTGTTCTTATGCTAATCTCAATTACTACCATTGCTCATGCTTAATACCTTATCCCTTTGTATTACTTCAATAGTTTGTTTATATTTCTACAAGTATTTTTTACGAAGGCATATAAGTATTATATATGTGTGTGGGCGTGTGTGTTTTAGTGTATGCATGCATGTATGTATGCATTTATGTATATATATACGCATGCATGTTTGTTTTCTAATACCAAACGCAGGCCAAGCTTATTCGTCGCTATGCTGCAAATTTAAATAAAACGAATTTCTACCAAGTGCTGTCCTCCTCGATTCTCAAGAATTCAAGTAGGCTCTTCAGATTTCCATGCTAAGCTAGTAGTGTAGTGTTTTTTTGTTTGTTTTTCGGTATGTATGTATGTATGTATGTATGTATGTATGTATGTATGTATGTATGTATGTATGTATGTATGTATGTATGTAGGTATGTATGTATGCATGTATGCATGCATGTATGTGTTTATGTATGTAGGTATGTAATACATGTCCATGCATACATGTTTTTTATACATGCAAAACAAACATGCATACATGTAAGTACAAGCAGGCATACATATATTGCAAACCTAAAACTTCAGGCAAAAAAGCTTTGAACTGCATTGATGCAATTGATGGTTAGCAAAAAAGTTTCATACGAATGGAATTTTCCGAGCCCCCATCTTAATGTGCACCTTCACGTAGGGTAACTACAGTGAACATTTTAGTATTTACTAAATACTTTAATAAACCCCCCCCCCACCGTGCATTTTGAGTCTCCACTTTCTTTCACCAAGCTGTAGAAAAAGTTGAATAGAAAAGTCGAACTGTCAATCAAATCGAAATTGAATTATACTTGAAATTGAAATGTAACAATAAAACATGATAAGGGCATGTTTAAACTGACAGATAAAGTAATTCAACTTTCAATAATAATCAATACCAAGAAAAGACAATTCCAGTTTCATATCAATTTAAATGAATATTTACCCTCAAATTTATTTACCTTTAAATTTTTATTACATCCTATCTGCAAAAGCTTTATGAAAGAGCGATATAATATATGTAAAATATATAATATATGTATATATATTTACCTTTTATACTTAACTCTCAAGCGATATCTATCAATGTTGCATTTCTGTTATCATTGCAATTCAATTTTAATTACATGCCCCAGCCCCAACGGCCATTTAAAATCAACTATCTATGTATATGTAGAACAAGCATCTATCAGTAAAGCTTATCGCGTACTGCAATAAACACACACTCAAGCACACTCGCGCACACTCACATTAATTGCAAAACTCAAGTATTTTATTTGCCACTCTGACGTATGAGTAATATTTGCGTTCTTGCTGACAAATTTACGTACTTATCTGAAGCTCAAGTCGACTTATTTCTATAACAAAATTCACTCGGCTTCAGTTTCTGCGGCCTCCAGCTGCAAGTTCAATCGGTTTGCGTCGACTTCAGGGCAACTGTTTGGGGCAAGCATTTGAGCATTTATTTCTTATCAATCATAATGTCATACAGGGTCTTAAGTGGGCCTGCCAAATGGCGGCTGCAACTGGCCAACTTATCGGACGCCCACTTCAACTGACCAACAAGCGTTTACTGTATCATAAACTTTATAATATACTATAAATAGATGCTTATACTTATAAAACTGCGCTGTTGCATGATTTACAATGCGCACGTTCGTGCAGCACGTTAGTCTTCCACTCGCCTACCCTATACGCTTAAAATTGGGCATTCAGGGTATAGTCAAATCGTGGATATGCATGTAACAGAAGGGAAAGAGTGCATATAACTTATTTTCTAAATTCATTTAACAATTCTTTGTTGTCTGCAGAACTGTGCCCCTTATAACTAGGGATATATGCATGTTTATCTATACACAATTATGCCCAAAGTATATATATGTCTATATATCATTAATTATACATATCACGCTTATAGCGTATACAAATTTCATTACCATTTCTCGATAAACTAGGATAGATCAGTTCTAGTTTGTTAAGTAATATCTGACTAAGGAACCTAGAACTGATCTTTCCTGGGAAGACCGTAAAACTGTTCCATCTTTGTAAATCAATTTTAAGGATAAGTCAGAAAAGATAAGAGATTTTTGAGCTATTTATTATAAATTTCAATGCTACGAGTTCAAATACTTTCTACTTCTACTTTAAAGATAAAGCAGCAAAAATTTTTTGGTTGAATATAATTTGGGTAATAATAGCTTATCATCTATAATTGTGATTCAAATATTTTTATTATTATTAAATTTAATATTTAATTTTAAAAAATATATATAATATATATGTTTACAAAAAGATCCGTAAGTGCATTGCAGGGCTTGGTCTTTAAAGTAAGGCATTTAACCTACTTCTTATTATTATACTTACGTATCAGAAATATATATAAGTATATATACGCTACAGGGTATCGACTAGTCGATAGTATTAGTTGGAATAGGTATCAGAAATACGTATATGTAGGTTACAGTTGCCATTAAAAATATTGTTTTTAGCTTAATTTATTGTTTATTGTTAGACAAATGGGCCTCATGACCTATCCTAAGCCACATTCACTTGACTTGAGACTAAATAATTATTTTGTTTGCCTTCGCATGTTGTTTGCTCTTCCAGGCAAAGAGCCGGCGCTGCGCTCGTTCACCGAAATCCAACAGCTGCTGCAGCAGGGCAAGAAGCGCGATGTCAAGAGTATACTCAGGGAGAACTCGTGGCCAATTAACTCGCCGATACGCTCCCAATTGTGGCCGGCACTGTGCGCCCAGCATTTGACCAAGCAGAACATGCTCGATGGCTTCTACTGGGAGATGGTGCATCAGGTGAGCGTCTAAAGTTGACCGAATCGTATAGCCAAGTACTAATAATATATATATATAATTATTTTACAGGTCTTTGGCACCACGGAACTGTCGGATAAGCCCATCATGCTGCCCGCCTTTGTGGATGCCACACATTGTTTGCCGTATCATTTGACCAGCACGGGACGCGCCGTTGCCGATCGCATCGTGAATGTATTGGGCTATGATTGTCCCGACATTACCTACAGTCCAGTATTGTATCCGATTACATCGTTACTTTTGCATTTCATGTCGGGTAAGTGCTAAAACTTCCTATTAAAGTAAAAACAAGAGAGAGCAGTAGTATTTGGGCATGGCAAATATTGAATGCCCATCAAATGGAATTGCATTATTGCCGATCGATTGTTCCGATATGTGAGATCGTATTGGCCGACCTTGGGCAAAATATCTTCAAGCATAGAAAAGTGTTCGTTTGCACGGATGCTAATAACATATGTATATAAGATGTTCATAAGTAAGCAGCATGTTAATAATCGTAAATCTCTTAAACATTTAGAGACAAAAACTTAATCTTTGACCGAATATTTCTATGGCAGCTATGTAATATAGTAATCCATCCGGAAATGTTTCTGGTCAAGCCTAGTTACACATTTCGTGACAAAATTGTAATACCCTCTATAAAAGTTGAATAAGAAACTCACGTGACACACACCCTCAACGATTTATGACTTGGAGGCAGAAATACTCGATGGTGATTCGTTTTCTACATATATATTAACATAAATTACGCGCTTTACGCACTTCGAATCGCAGCACTCGCTCAGTTTCAGTTTGTTCAATATTTGTTTTTTTCATTACTTCTGTATATATTTATATATATATTTTTTTTGTCGCCTAAACAAACAAAATGTACCTGAGTAATTGGCACAATTGTAAATCGCTGCCCGAAGTAAATCACAACTGGGCGCAAATTGATGTATCGTGATTTTTCAAGCTAATTGCTTTGGCCAACAGGCAATGAGCCAACAATTTAAACCATTTCAAATACACTCAATTCAATAAGACACTCGGCTCGGCCCTACGAGCATGTGAAATGTGTGTACATATATTTATATTTACTTGTGTATTGTTAAAGGTAAGCATGCGTGACCTTTTGGGCCCATTTTCTACTGGGCCTTGAGCTCTTCTTTAATCACTATTTCCTGAGTTGAGGCGCGTTTGAGAATTTCAATATTTAGTGTTAGGAGAGTAAATTTAAAGCTGGCCCGCTCGAGCTCAATGCTGGTCATAACGACCAAAAATAAGAGCAATTTGTCTTTATAACTATTTCAAGAATCTTTCGGTTCAATCATCAGCGGACTTTGCTATCGACTCTAGATTTGCAGGGCCTTGTCCTCAGTTCAAAACCTTAAACCACTTGAGAATTATAAGCTCAAATTTTATGGTAATTTTTCGTAATATTCCTCAAAAGTTTTTTCCTACAAGTTTTAACAAAAGCATTTTTTAATTACTGGAAATTTTCTATAATTTACATACATATATGTAAGTCTTAATTGCAATAATTTTCAATGTTGCCTTTGAAAGCTAACCCAGCTTTCATTCCAGCTAGCTCATGAGTGTTATTCCCCAGCTCTTTGCTGGTTACGAAAACATTCATTAAACAATGTTAATTATTTTACTTAAGTGTTCTAGTTTATATCGCACTTCTCTACAGTTTATAGAAAGAATATACACACATACACATATGTATCTACATATTTAGTTGTAAACTAGTTTCCGCCCTTGTTACCAGAAATGTGTGTCTGGCATCGGATCTCTTAACTCAATTGTTGTTCTTGCGTCTGCTGTGACTCGACGCCAATTAATTTGCTACAATTTGTATCTTTAAGCGGTTTAAAATTGGATTAATCTGGCTACATGTGGGCAGAGATTGTTAGAGCTGCCTATTGCCAGCCTAAACAAACGATTTGAAGAGAAACATTTAAATTTTCAATCGTTTGCCATAAATAAATAAACATTTTGTAGTGACATATTTTAATGTGAATTTGTTTACAGATTTGACCATGTATCTTTATTAATAAATTGATTATTAATTTTACTGCATGACAGCTTAACCTATTTAAATGTGGGAATTAGTTTTTACCTAAACTTTATATATTTTTCAAAGTGTTTAATATAAACTGTAAAAGTTGAAAGATTTAACATTCTAATGAGGGATTCGAAGTTGCGTGTCTCTGCCAAATTAAAGTTAAGTGTCAATTAGAATTGAGAGATGCAATTGACTGTAGATGGGAGATACTTTATCATATTAATTTGCAGGAACAGTAAACCGATTTCTTCCACCTTTAAGTAGTTTTTGTGTTAATCAAGTCTAAGTTAGTTTCCGGCGCCCATCATCATGCCCCCGGCTCCCTTTCCGTTGCGTCTCTGGATAAACTTGCCAATAATGATTTTAGATGAAAGATTGTTTTAGCACTCAATCCATTACTTCTATAAAAAGTTTCACACAATATAAAAATATATGAATTGTAGAGAGGAAAAGAAGAAGCATATTTGAAAGCGGAAAAGTTCTCCCATTTAATTTCATTGTCAGCTCGATTTAGATTTCCGCAGCTCTCATGTGGCCATCACCTGGCTTAGATTAAAAATGACAGCTGCATGGCCTCCATACTGTAACCCCAAAATGTGGTTCATGCGCCGCAATATCAGGACACATGGAGTGTAGGGGCTTATAATCAGTTAATCTCAAAGGCTGAACTCTGAACACCCCCATTTGTGAAATTACTATATGGTTCTTCAGATTAAGAAACTGTGAAACAACAAGACAATTAATCGATTTGCATCTGGGTTCAAGTGTGTGGCGCACACAATTTAGAATATGTATTATCTGGGAAAATATACCTATAGCTGTTCGTAGAAAGTCCGCTAAATGCAACCAATAGATGGGTGACGCTTGCGATTAATATGCGACGTTGCTTGAGAGGCACATGACAGCTCTGCTCTGCTTCCCCTCCTCCGCCTTCCGCCTGCCCACCGCCCGCCTGCAGCTGATAAAGCTGCGCCTGATAAGCCACCGTCCAAGCGGCACGGAAAGAGGTCGACTTTTAAAGTCGACAACATTTTATTCTCCATTTGTTTTCTGTCTACTTGTCTCGTTCTTCCAGATTTGGAGGTTTGTTTACACGGCGCAAAAATTACTGTAGCGTCTGGAGATTGCGATTCCGGGCCAGTTTCAGTTTCAAGGTAGTCGCCACATTGGCTATAAATAGTTCTCACCCTCCCCCCCCCCCCCCTGGCATAGGGTACAAAGGTCCATTGTTTACGCGAAACAAATGAAATTGAAAAATGAAATTACGAATGTGTAAACTCTGTGCACACAAACGGCGAAGGTCGCAGAAAGCATCCTATAAAAAAAAAAAAAACATTACAAATCAACAATTCAGTAACGAAAATATATGAATTATAAAAACATTAAATAAAGAATGAAAAAATTATTTTTGAGCTGCATTTTCAATCAGCATTTCGTGCATTTCAAGTTCAAAAGTCGCACATAAACAATGTATAAAAAATGTACGCGATGTTTACATACATTCGTGTACACACACATGTATGTACAATAAAATACATACATATATACCAAGTCCATATTGACACTTTGTACTGCTTGTCGACATCTTGTTGACGTCATTGACTTGTCGTTGGTTGTTGTCTGCGTTGAATGCGTTGAATTTTACGCAAATTCTTTTTATTTATTTCTTCTTTTTTTTGCCACTTGTATAAAAGTAACAGATCCACGGCACAAGACTACAAATTTTGCAGTACAGTGGTTGCTCAATAAGTGTTACACTTGTCATTTGAAACTTTATAGAAATCATGATAAGCAGTTTCTTGAGTTCACAAAATACTTTGCTCTCTATTTATACACTGAACCCATTGGAAATGGGTAAAAAGATTAAAATAATAAGTAAACCAATTCGAATTACCTACCAATTTAAGCCATAATTTAAATGCTGTTGTTTTTTTGAGAATGGACGAATATTTAATTTATTGTTTTCCAGAATTCAGAATCTCCTTATATTTTCTTTTGTTTTTCTTTGCTTATTAACATTTAGTTAACAGAATCAATTAGCTTCACGAAAAAGAACCTTTTTCTATTGTTTAACAACACTGAAATATTTATTTTTGCTTAGAAAAATCCTAGAAATATGATATTTGGCTTAGTTTTATTTAAATAGAAAATCAAATGACTTTCACAAATTACAATTCATAGAAAACAAGACTTAACCCACGAACTGTTAAGTTTATTTTACCGTATGACCACTGTAGTTGCGGCATGTGACATACATTTGTAGATCTACATCCACATTGCTTTAGATCTAGAATTATAATTGTAGTTTATTTTTAGTAAACGTCGTATTTCAGCAATTGTTGCTTATGACGCCAACACGTGAGCATAAAATTGACATAAAATACAATTGGGCAAAGCCATTCGCATTCGCATTAGCAGTCGCATGTAGATAGCCACACTCCCCAGCCCGTATCCGAGTCCCGAACGCAGCGAAGCCAAACAAATGCGCACTTTTTATATATCATCTTTGGGTTTGCTTTTATTTTATGGCTGTTTGTTATTCTGTTTTTCTGTTTATGCCCTACCCAAACATTGTCGAGCTTTGCCTATTTGTTTTTGCACGGCTTTTATATGGACGCACTCAAACCCACCCCCAACTTACCTAGCCCCCGCTCTATAAATAAGCACTTAAGTCTTACGTGCTCTGCGATATAAAATACAGAAAGAGAATCATTCGACTTGACGCACCAAGAACTTGCCCAGTGCTCGGCTTGAATGGTGATACTTTTTTCATCATTTGCATATTCATGAATGTCGAGCATAGAAGCCAAAGCTCACCAATACAAGCACGTGCTCGCCTTTACGCTTGTATGTGCGCGCAAAAGCTCTTTCTAATGCAGCTAAGCGGCGAGTGCTTCTTGTGCTTTCCTCTATTTATATCCATGTTTACTGTGCGTGACTGAATTTGCAGAAAGGTAAATGTCAACCTGACATCAAATAGTTACATTTCTAAGCAGTTCCACTGTTTCCTACTGATGCGACTGGTATATATATACTTGGTACATATTCAGTTTATTTGAAGCGCAACTTTTGTGCAAACACTTTGACTTGTAAGGCTCTCGAGTGCGTGCCTTGAAGTTCCTATACTTCCAAGTGCATGGCTAGCCAAGACGGAGCCAAACCAAATGTCATTTGAGTCCCAGTTTATGCCTAGCTATGTTTTAAAATAACTAAACCTTATTTCACAATCTTTCGTATGGTGGAAATCAGCAAGTACGGATTGATTCCATTGCAAAAAAATTTAAATGAAATTAAAAATACATTAAACCATATTTTACCAAAAATATTTCAAATTAGTCAATAATATCATCTTTCAGTAAAATCAGGATAAGCGTTTAATTAAAAAAGTCTATAAAATCTTATTTTTAGGGTCTGTTGAATGTCTTTAAATGACTTGAATTCGCTGGTAAATAGTTATTTATTCAAAACTTTTTCGTTCTTCCCGTCTAAATTTTAAATACATTTTGTTCCTAATTTTCTCAAACTTTTAACCCATACATATTTTATGTATTATATTAAACGGTATTAGCTTTAATAATTTCAAAATTGTAAAAATTAGTATAAAACGCGACTTTGAGCTATTTCACGCGTTTCAAGTTCGGCTGCCGTTTTGTTTATTTTTTAAAGGGCATTGCAATTTCCACATGGCGCTGCCGCAGCTCAATTAGCGTTTGCGAGAGAAAAAAATTTGTTAGAAAAATATTTCTATGGTTTTCATTTAACACGCATCGCGTCTATTTTGGTATTTAAAACATTGTTTATGTTTTTTTGTTATTTTTTGTTGCTTGTGGCCTGCTGTTTTGTGTCCAAAGCATGATGAATTTAGACCAGATATGTTGAAAGGCAGCTCAGCTGCAGTACATCAAAGTTGTCTATACAAATGATTGAATGAGGGAAAAGCTGTCCAACAACAACTACATAGGCGACGGCACGTGAACCGGGCAGCGATTTCTTAAGCCAGTTTTATTAAATATTTTATTATTGTTGCTGCTGCTGTTGGTTATCGGTTTAATTGGTGTCATAAAATTAAAGTTCCCCTTACCCCACACACTTTAGCAGCAGGCCAGCCAATTGTCGTATTGCAGCTGTCAACTATTTATAGACAAGCAGAGCAATTAGTGCTCGATTAAATATTATTAATAATTTACTTATTTTTGGCTATTTGTGAAGCAAACTCAGAGAAATTCGCAGAAGACAAGCTGAAACAAATGCCGTGCCTTAAATAGAACTCAAGTCAAATAATGAATGATAAAAATACGCTAAGCAAATAGTGCAGCGGGATGTCGCTTATCAGAAGTTGTAGGTTTCCGCAAGCGATAAGCCGCAACATGTAGATACACCCACATATGCAAAGATACAGATACATTTCAGAGATACGAGCTGCGTCCTACGCCTGTGTGCTGCGTATCTTTGAACTTTTGCAGTCTGTCAAAACAATTGATAACATTTGAAACAATTAAATAACTATTAAGGGCAATCATAAACTAAGTCAAACCGCCTTAGGCCGCAATGAACCGCAACGAACCGTACTTAAAAGCTGATAAGCCCGTTGCTGATAACAGCTGAAAGCTAAAAGCTAAAAGCGGGCTGCTGCACACATCAGCGACAGGCTCTTTGTTTATGTGCAAATCAATGCAACTGGCATTTACTTATGTAAGCCACTGTAAACGATAAAACCATATCTAAATGGCATTTAAAGTCCTCGATCGCTAATTGGGCGAGTCAACAAAAAATATATATATATAAGCATTCGGAAATATATTAAAAAAGCCGCCCCCACCCAATGGCAATTGCATTTTAAATGCTACACAAAATGTTTATTAAGTATTTTGTTGTTATTATTTGTAATCAGTTTTGTAAACAGTTAACGCTGCTAATGAGCCACACACGAAACCTAACTGCGACACGCAAAAATAAAAATTCCGAACAGAACCGAGTAAATAAAATACATATCTGTGGTATTATTTTTAGCAGCAGAGTCTGTTCTCGTCTCCAGCACCTTTTGCATAATTTGAGCTAATTTATAAATCAAATACTCGATATATGTGCACAGCAATGACTAATTTAATAAACAAATTGTGCGGCAGTTAATTGTGGCGAAAAGCTGCTATAAAAACACAATTGCCGGTTGGATCCCAATAAAACCTGACCCGGAGCTTAGCTCTGCAAACTTAAGGCGGTCAAAGTGCAGGCACATGCACAACTGGCTGCTTATATAAGCGTAACCTGTTGTCTTTAAAGTAATAAAAGGTATTTCTATTCTCAAAACAAACCTCAGCATTGAGTCCATATAAGTATTATCCAAATATGTGTACATATTTCTTTTTAATTCTAGATGTTTTTGCTCTTTGTCTTAAACCTATTATTGCTTATCTGTTGCATCTAACAAAAATGGCTTACACAAGTGCATTTTCGATTATGCATGTATTGGTAAGCTTTGTCCCATAAAGCTCTTCGTACATTTAAAGTCCTGTATAGAGTGTGCACAGAGCTTTAAGCGCACGAATCGTCGGCATATGTGAGCTGTGTACGTGAGTTGTGAGCTCTGCATGATTTATTATGGATTAAATATGTACTACATATAGGGTATTTTCAAGGTCAAGCACATTCCTTCCTCTCTGTGCATTTCCAACGTTCGCTCTATTGAATGCGATTTGTGCTGCGTCATTGCGGTAACGCCCTCGAGGCTCTGCACCACACCGAAACCGCAAAGCACACAAAGCTCATCAGCCGCAAGCGACGATGCGCTGAACGCGGATTGTGGAACGAGCTCAGGAAGCTGCAGTGCAAATTGCAATTTGAAATTGTGCAATTAAATTAGAGACAAGCCGCACATATGAGGCAGAACGCTGGGCCGAGCGGTGGGTGAGTGGGTTGCGGTTGTGTCGCTAAGGTTAGGCCTCTCATTAAGCTCGAGATGATTTTCCAAGCAAAATGCAATTCAATACCGTTGTAGATTAGAAAAAAAAAATACTGCCATGCAACAAGATCAAGTTATAAAATATAAAATGTGCTAACAACAATTTCTACTACTTTGCTTTGCAGAGGAGGAAGCCTATTTGTGCCTGGCCGGACTTGTGGGCAGCAAGGAGAAGACATTCATTAATCAAACCAAACTGCAGAATGAGGTCACCTGGAAGACGGTCATGCAGATAGCCAAAAAGCACACAGTATGTATTCTCAAACAAATAGATCAGTTAGATCAAATAAATAAATGTATTTGTTAATTTTAGAAAAGTGCCATTGCGTATTTCCAACGCATCTGTCCCAGCCAGAAGCTGGAGCGCGTCTTCATGGACTGGTGCTGGTGGATATTAGCTGGTCTGCCCTTTCAGCATTTGGTGCGAATTATGGACTGCTATTTCCATGAGGGCATCAAGGTGCTATATCGCGTCGCCCTGGTCATACTCAATCTCTTTCACAAGGAATGCCAGTCGAACAACGAATGGAGTCCGGACAATATTAAAAACGACATTGGCAATGCGCTCATCAAGTTCTGCAAAAAGATACCAGTATCTCCGGCTAAGCTGCTCCATGCCGCTTTTAGTATTAGGGGACTCAGGTAAGGCCACTTTCACAGTATGCTCTACATGATAATGATAATGTAATACGAGAAAAAAGAATTAACATGAAAATAATTATTAAATGCGACATGATTTATCATATATTGAATCAATACAAATATTTATAATCTATATTCAGCGTGTATCCTAATAAAGATTCGTTGTAACTTTCAAATCAATATGCAGGATCACAGGTTGATAATGCGCTAATGTTATATTAGCAGATCTTGTTACTATTGTCAATCTTGGATATATAATAGATAAAGCTAGCAAATTGAGCAAGCAAATATGCATTTACCCTGTTCTTATATTATTATGCAATTTTGACTATATGCCTGCAAATACCCTGCATATTTATAAAGACAAATGTATTGATACCAGCTTTGGTCTAGAAAGTTTTTCACTTATCCTTTTTTACTTATTCTTAACTAAACTTCCCAACAATCCAATTTTAAACCTTTTGGAATATGAATATGAATATGAATATGAATATGAATATGAATATGAATATGAATTTGAATTTGAATATGAATATGAATATGAATTTGAATATGAATATGAATATGAATATGAATATGAATATGAATATTAATATGCAATTAAAAATAACATGCACTAATCATATCTATCATTATCATCATTAGTTAAGCTATTCAGATTGTTTTTTCAAAATCTAATTAAATTATTTCCTATTCTCGATTAATATATCGTATGTATTAACTATGCCTTGATTAAATGTAGATATATCTATTACAAATGAGAAGCTATTGAATTGGCATTCACTTTGTGTGAACATTTGAAATATTACTAATCAAATATTTTTCTCTTTTTTCATTTTCCAGTACCCAGTATATTTCTAGAATATTTATCAAGACTGAAATGCTACTAAAAAGCCGATCCGCATTCAATAGCGGCTCGAAGCAATTAATCAAATCGCGTTCAAGTGATAATCTGCCCACTAGTCAGTCGCAGGTCAACATCCAAATGATGTCACATACATTGACCATACGTGAGGTAAGTAAACGACAGACACTGGCCTCGGTTAGAAGCCCATAAAACCCCCAACTACCCACAACCACTCAGAACCACACAAACAGCCAGGCAAAACCTACCACCTATCTATACTAGCTATGCATAACTCAATTTAACAGTTTTCAAGGGTCTTTGGAACTGCACCCAAACCAAGTTTGGTTTTTTTTAGACTTCAGTTCAACTTAGGTTTAGGTTTTGCTCCAAATATAACGGTTATTCTTTATCCACACAGCACCGCACACACTTATATAACTTAACTAATTATGGTAAACAACTGTAAAACTCTATTGATTTATTGTTTTTGTGTTCTTTCAAAACTCACACAACAACAACAACTCAACTCAACTCACTTGAAAAAATATCCAATTGAAAAACAAAACCAGAAGCTGCACTCCGAGAGCTGTCGCAATTTGGTATGGGGCTATAAAATACGTATATATATATATATATATAGATCATATATTACTATATACTATAGGATGATAATGCTGACTGATGTTCAAACTCTGCTTGTTTTGTTTTTCATAAATAATTAACTAAAAACACTTTTGAGTTCTGAGTTAAAAAGCGCCTCCTACGCATGTTTTCAGCTTTTTCTAGCTAGCAAAAATCATGCGCAGGATATGGCATTATGTTCTTTATGTTTTATCCTTCGATTGGCTACGCTATGGATTAAATTGTTATCCACGCTGATAATTCAAAATTCTAGCGGATTTACAGCTTATGATATAGCGGTTTTACAGCCAACAGTTCTTTTTGTTGTGTTTTTTGAATGTGTTTCTTTTTCTTTTCGTTGCAAAAATATACTTAACAAAACTCAATTTTAAAAACTTATCTTGAGTTTCCTTGCTCTAACTTTTAATCAATGCATAACAACAACACAAACAACAACAACTACAATATATATAAAAGCTACTTATCCATTTCCGTTGCTAAACAAAAAGTTGCATTTAAGTTCAGTTTTTATTAAACATTTTATGTTATCGCACTTCTTTTGCACTCCAAGGCCAAAAAAAAAAGAAATATATAAAAAACAAAACACAATCAAAAACAAAAACAACCACAGCCACAATTGAGACCCAATTTAATGCCAAAAATTGTTCTATATATCAATATTAACTTTTTCAATATATCATATATAAAATGTTATTTCTATTTTTCTTGTATTTTGCGCTGCCTTGGCAAACTTTGAATGACAAAAAAAAAAACTGAAAATAATAAAAATCGAAAACCAAAATTCTTATAAATATAAAAATACTTATTAATATAACAAATATAACATGCGTGCGCTTTATCAACATGAAATTTCACATCTTTCGAAACTGACATTATATATCATGTGCATAAAACTAAATAATTATATGTGTATGTGTATGTGTATGGCATTGTGTATACAGGGCGAAAAGTCGCCCGGTCATAGAGCCATCGCCATGGGTGTCTATCCCATACACAATCTCAAAAGTCAAGTCTGTAAGAACGAAGATGTAAGTCCAGAAGAGAGCAGTCGAAACGCCGAACCGCCACTTTGCTAACTTTTTGCTAGTTATCCCTACTCGATATATATATATACATACATATGTTTTCTTTTAAAGTATTATTGTAAAGCAAGTATTCTATAATACATACAGCACACACACCCAAGAAAACGGAATGTAACGCTTATCAAACTGCACCTCAAATCAAAGTCTTTCTCTTTTGCTCACCCAAAAAAAAAACACTGCTCTTAGCGAGGTGCTTCACCTCCCCCCGCCACAGTCCACATTGCATGCTCTGATGTGTGCAAGAATCGAGTTTCCAATTTTGTTGGCATTACATAATATAGCATAATTAAGTATTAAATATTATTTTACAACTTGTTTTTTTTTTTTTATAGTTAGTTTTTCTGTTTCTGTTTTTATTTAATTTAGCCTTTGAAAGTTTTAAGCAGCAGAAGGGCCCACCACCCCCTCCCCTCGCCGAGTTTTATTCCCTTCCCCAGCCCACCCCACCCCCGAAATCTGTATCCTATGTCAAACTTTCAATCGATCATTCAAATCGAGTCGCATCTAATCTTGACATTGCTATATATCATCTTTTTTCATAGCATTTTGGTTTACCGGGCACAACGAATTTCATTAAAACCTGGACGGATAGACAATTTGTAAGCACATATCTCTATTACGAGCCAACATTTTACAACAAATCGTGAATGATCCATCCAAAGAAATTCCCATTCCAATAATAAAACAGTTACATCTTGTGCCGTTTTATTAGACAATTTAACAAAATAAAAAAACAAAAAAAAAGTTTCCCAATTAGCGCTAAATCTTTATCCCAATATTTCTCTCTCTCTCTCCCCCCCTTTCACTTTCTCACCCACTTTCTCTCTCTCTCACTCTCTCTTTAATTGTGTGTTTGTGTGTGTGTGTGTGAGCGTCCCTTGTATTGGTAAACTAAACCTTCATATATAGAGCCTACACAAATCGCAATCACCATTCATTAATCGAGCCATTCCAATTTACAGTTTGGCAGGCCGACAGTTTGGCAGTCATAGCAAACAGTTTAACATGCACTGCGCCGCTGCAATAAATGCGCTGCTGCTGCTGCTGTGCATCAAAGCAAGAAAAAAATCTCAATAAAATCGAATTGTATTTTTTTTTCGTTTATGTATTTGTAGATTTTGATTTTTCAGTTTTAAATAAATATATAATTAATATTCTTTATGTATGATTCATGTATTAACTTGGCTTTTAGTTTTTTTTGGCCTTTTAGTTCATGTTCTAGTTAATATGTCCTTACCATTTGTCTCTCTTTCTGTCTCCCTGTTTATCGCTCTGTATCTACCACCCCGCCCAAAATGCCTAATATTGTTTTTTGTGTGTGTTTATTTAGAGTAAATATCTATATATATATATAATTATTTTAACTGTTTTAAACATTGGCTAACGCTACCCTTTTTCTAGTTAATCGTAGTTAATTTTGCCTAATAATATATCTCAGCTAGTCTTACAGAGCTTTATTAACTTGTTTTCACATAATCCCTACTCCCTCTCACAGCTGTTCACGCTGTGGTCCTGGCTGCCCGTGCGAATCACCATGTACCAGCCGGTGCTGCTCTACACCACCGAGGAGCACGGCTGCTCCCTGACGACCTTCTACGTGCGCGTCGAGCAGCACGAGCCCACGCTGCTCATGATCAAAACGTGCAACAATGAGGTAGGTGTGGGAGACTTTATCATTAGAATGCGCTTCTAATTCCATTCTATTTTCACTCAGGTATTTGGCGCCTATTGCTCGTCGCGCTGGTTTGAGCGCAATGTCAAGGATGACAAGGGCCAGAGACAGGCCTACTTTGGCACCGGCGAAACCTTCTTGTTCTCGCTGTATCCCGAGCGGGCCAAGTATCCCTGGGTGGGCATCGAAGGCGATCGCGATCTGGGCCACAGCTCCGAGCTCTTTATGGCAGCTGACTCCAAAATGATAACAATTGGCGGCGGGTAAGTCGAAATCAACTAAACCAATCAACGAAGCTGAAAATGAAACTGAAACATTATAAACCTTCTGTAAACGCTATGTTAAGTTGTGGCAATAACATTGTGCTGTTAACGCTATGGAGTGGTTGATCTATATCACAGTTATATCTGCTTTAGATTTGTTATAAATTGGTTTCAGTAAAGCAATCGATGACAAGATCGCTTAGCACCATTTTTCCATTCACTTAATTAAATGTATAATTTTCTATAGATTCCTTTATAAATTGTTTGACACTTCTATAAATTTAAATCATTTTGTTAATGAGTTGATTTATTAACAGTTGACTATGCTAAACAGCGCACTGTTATTTAACATAGCACAGATATGTCAGTGAAAGTATTTTGTTATGTTAACTAAACAGAATTTAAGAATTTCCATATGACATGCAATGTGCAATTTTCAACATATTCTTTATTTATATTCAGTTAAAGTTTTTATTGTTTTTACCAAATATATGTTTAATTAATATATATCTTCACATTTGTAACCTGATTAACTTCTTTGTTGTACTTTACAGTGAGGGCCAAGCTATTTGGATGGATGAGAACATACGATTTGGCAAGACGGACAGCTGTAAGACCTTCAACAATCCGCCGCTATGTCCGTCGGGTGACTTTGAGATACGCGTACTGGAGGTCTACGGCTTCGTGGGCATCTAAAGCCATATAGGCCCGATTGGCCCATAGAAACTCAAAACGAAACCAAATTGCCCGCCGATGTTCAAGTGCTCAGCTGAAACCCGCACCTATGCTCCTCTCAGACCTACTCATACACACACACACACACACACACACACAGTCTATGCCTACACACATATACATATATACAGACAAACACAATGCGTACGCTTGCGTTTCCGGCTCCAGCGGAAACACTAGGCAGAAGCGAAAGATGATGATGAAGAAGAAGAAGATTAATATTTGTGTAAACATTTATAAAAACTTATTTATAAATATGTATCTAAAGAGTAAAAACAAAAAAAAAGGCAGCAGTCGTTGTCGTCATTGCTGTTGTAATGTTAAATGTTTAAAACCCAAGCAAAAACAAATTATATATTGTATAATGGAAATACTCTGTGAGTTAATGTTTCAAAACGCAAAAGCTTTGAAATTATATACATACAATAGTTGTTATTCATAAAAAAAAAACTATTTATATATATATACATATATATCAAATATGTGTACATCTAAATGTAAATCGTAAAACGTAACCCTATTTCTATATAACGACTTTAAACGGCAGACAACAAACAAAATATATTCCTTAAATGAAAAGAAAAGCAAGCAAAAATATCAAAAAAATATTGTCATGTTAACTTTGTCTGCACATTTTGATAAATATTATTATTATTATTATTATTATGATTATGCCTAAAGTAATTTGTATGTTTACTTTTATTATTATTTTTCTGCTTTCTGTAAACCAAATTTACTGACTTGACTGAATTCGTTATAAATGTTATTAATATTATTATTACATATGTGTATAAATTATATACTTTGTAAATTGCATTGGAAACTTTTTTATTTTCTTACTATTGCTAGTTTCTATATATATATAAACTACCTATATATATATATATAAATATCCATATACAACTGAAATTTGCAGCATGAATTCAAAGCTAAAACAAAACACTAAACTTGCAGTGCAGTGTAATAGTTATATAAACGTATGCTATAGCTACGGTTAGAAGCCACAATAAAGCTATTTGGGCGTGCAGGGTGCGAGGTCGATAAAGTGGGGATTTAAGGGTCGGGGGGTGTGCACACATGTCACATATTGATCTCATTTATGATCCGTATCCAAAGCTTACAACAAATTCAATGTTTATTTAAGACTCATTCCATTTGTGCATTGCTCAAACTACACTCTTTTTTTTTATTTTTATAAACTTACTCACCGACAAAAATTTTGAACTATTTTGTTTCTATACAAAAACCTATTTTTCTTTTCATTTTTCTAGTCAAGAGAAAACAAGAAAAATTTCAAACATGTTGTGCACAAAGTTTCTTTATTTTTGGTAGGCGCTTGCGCACGCCCACTTTAGCGACTGCTCTTTGCACTACTCAAGCGAATTGTTACAATCACAACGAATACAAAACTTATATAGAAAATATTACAACAATTAACAATACATAAATCATAAATGTAAACTATGCCAAAAAAGAATGCGATTTGCTGTTGCTGCTGCGCCGACTCAAAGTTCTATGCGCCACTCAATTTTAGTTTAGATGAAACGCATAGATCAATACTCTATGAACAAATGAATCAACACATTTCGGAGCTGGACTCCAAAATAAAAAAAAGAACACACACACACCTCACTCATTTGCAACACACACACACACACATGTGGCAAGGCATGACAGCAAATTTGTAAAATGTTTGTGGCTGGTTAAAAGAAAACATATATATATATAATAAATTATGTGTATATTATAAATTTAGTTTTTAATTAATTAAACTCTCTGTGTTGTTGAAAGAATTGTGTATGTAAACAGCATTAAATATGGCATATGCTATAGCTCATACCCATAATAGCCTAGCTGAAAAGTTTGATTAATTCAAAAGTGAAAAAATATGAAGTTAAAAAAATTATGTATAAATATATTTGTTACTTGTTTCTGCGCTGTTGATAAAAGTTTTTAATTTACTTGGTTGACTATTGATACAAATTCTCAGATGATTGTTGGGCTAGGCTGAGGGGAGAGGTTGCGGGTGCGCTCATATTAATCTGAACAGTATTTGACAAAGGGCAGCAAAGAGTCAACTAATTCATTATCTTCTGTACATATACAATTGTTTACACTGTTTTCTATATAATTATAAGAATTGTTCTCTATGTGTAGTCGTTGTTAGGTTTCGATCATTTAATTTGTACAATAACCGACCATTATGTAGAAGACACATCTAAGTGTGTTATACATATATATATATATATAAACGATGATAAGCTCCAACTGAAGTTATATATTATGCAAACTGAAATATTACAATGAATAATATATATATAGATATATACGAACATATTTTAACTATGCGTTGTTCGCTATTTGAATTATAGAGCGTGTTGTTTATTTATTTTGTATTATTATTATTATTTTATTTTATGAATTACAAATACACACACATACGGTAATAAACGAATACAATTGAAAGATATACCCGATTATATATTATGTATTTCAAACGAAATAATGCATTATTATTATAAATATATATATATAATTATGTATGTTAAATCATTTTAGTGGATGTATAAAAACAAAACGAAGCTAAATCAAATAAAATGTAAAATGTTGCAAAAATATCAAACATGTTGCTTTCAGTTAAGACCTTTCTATTCGATTCTCAACATATTCAATTGCTGAATAAGTAAACTAAAATTAGCATTACGCTCAAAACCGTGCTGTGGACGTGTGCGAGGCGCGTGCTCCGATTACAGAAATCCTTGTGGCAGAAAACACAGCCCAGGAAGCTGAGCTGCGGCATCACCGGATCCGGCTGTTCATCGCACACAGACAAATCACCGAAAGCGCAGGAACGTCGCACAAACAACGCTTCATCAAGTGCTGCAAAAAAGAAGAGAAGATACACATATAAGTACACTAGCTTATACTACCCGGGTGAAATTTTGTAAAATTAATTTTCACATATATTAAAAATTAATTTTAAGCAGATTCAACTATAAATGAAGAAGAGAAATTTCCACGCATTTACCACATTTGCAGGTGGAAACTTCTAATCAATTTGTTAGTTAGTCGGTTATATTTAGATAAACTAACTAAAGCTTGGCATACTTACAGCCCCTGTAGTACTTGGTCAGGCACGCAGTGTCGGGTCGCTGCAAATAGTAAGCACGCAAATGTTCTGGCAGCTCCATGGAATCGCAGTCCGTTTTGGCAATGTCATCGGGCTGAAAATCATCGCCGCAATTCGAATCGTTGACGGAATCGCATTCATAGCAGCTAACGGCCAGAGCTGTGTGTCGATGACGATATGTGAGTGCGTGTGTGTGTGTGTGTGTGTGTGTTAAATGTGTGTGTTTAATATGTGTGTCAACAATGTATGACACGTTCGATGCGCTCACCTGTAGCGGCCAGCGAAACGAGCAGCAGCCCCAACGTCAACACCCAGCGCCCCAACATGCCCAACTGTTGTCTATCCGTGTGTGTGTGTGTGTGTGTGTGCGAGTGTGTGTGTAGTGCCCAGGTAGGAATACAGATGACGGATAGCTTGTATATTATGAGTGCACAGATTGGCCAGTTGATCGCGCCCAGAGCGTCACATGGCCGAACCAGCCGGACGAGCTGCACACGCGAGACTGAGCCAAAGCCAATCGCATTCTGAATGATGAGTTTTGTATTCAGTTTTTATTTTATTTTTTGCGCTATTTTCTTCTTTTTGTTATTTTCCATATAACACATTTGGTTTTCATTTGGCTGACCGCGTCTAGTACAGGCCACACATATACGATATGGAAATGAAAATGGAAATGGTATGAGCGGCATTTTGATAGCCGAAAATAAATGTCCGTTGACATGAAACATGGATTGGTGCAAAATACACGGCGCTATTGGGTGTGCCTGCATGAGTGTGTGTACGCTGTGTGTGTGTGTCTGTTTGTGTGTGTGTGGGCGGCGCGCCCTTGTTCATGCCGCAGACGCCTCTGCCCCGAGAGTTCATTGCGCGCACAAATAAACAATTTTCGCTTTATTCTATAATAATTTAGATTTTATTAGCTGGCCTTTGGCGCTTTCTCGGCTTTCTTGGCCATGGCCATATACATATAACAACAAACTAAGAACAACAACAACTTATGCCTAATGCCTTAAACATGCCTCATACGTCCCGTTGGCCGCCCTGCAGCCATCGAGCTGCCAGCAGATACAACGCCAATGCGGGCAGTTGCCACAGATGCACCTGCGGATGATCCGCTCCATTGCAGTAGTTCTCGTTGTCGCACACGTGGCAGCTGGCGTTCTGCACGGCGATCAGCGTGGGGTCCAGCTTGCAGCCAATCTCCGTCTCGTTCACCTCGCCAAAGTAGCAGCCACGCACGAATTTGTTGACGCCATTTTCTGTTTGCGGTTCAAAAATCAATTCAAACAATTAATTTTAACAATCTTGCGGCATACTTTTAGGCGGCGGGACATAAAAAAACACAGCTTTGGTGGCCGAAAAGCGGAATTCATTGGTGACTATTACAATATTATAATATCACAATCATTTCAGATTCAAGCTCAAAGCATTTTGTCTTTTGTATATAAGGTATACGAATATGTTGTATACTGATTGATCAATCAAATTTAAACTTATTTGAGTGTGCGTATTTAAAAGTCCGTGCTTTGATAATGACTGCAGACCCAACTGCAAATTCTAGCACAATTCTATTAATTGAATTTTCATTACTTGTCTAGATAAAGTCCGATCGTGTAACCCCATACCGTTTTAGGAAATTTGTGCTAATTTAAGATTGGACATTTTTGATTGCCGATCGTTAGTCCAAGACCCTACATTTCTTTAAAGCTCTAAATGACTATAGCTCTGGTAAATAAATTCTAATTTTGAAAATATATGGCTCTTGGTTCTTCATAGGTAGATTTATTGACAATAGAACAGATCCGACTTTATGATCAAATTGAACAATAGTCTCGATACTATCGAGTCCTAAATGGTATATTTTATAGAAGAAGGGATATCTCATAATTAGTTGAAGGTAGAATTTGTGAGATTGACTTGCTTCAAAAAGAACGCTGTCGGAACCAATTTAGAATTGAGCCGGGTAAGAAAAAGTGCATGTACATTTTTAATTATTAAATTAATACTTATACGTAACATTAAGATCTAATTTTTATCTCGCATTGTCCACTTGAAAATGCCAGATACATCAGCATTTACAAAGATAGACTCGTGTAGCACGGAGATTAACTTAACTTAACTCAAACATACTTTTGACTTTTGAACTTATACAAAAAAGACACTAACAATACGAATTCATTTTTTAAAGCATGATTTATTTATACAAAGTCTGTATCTTATCCCGAAATCTGTGACCTAAAGATACACATGTTGATCTTACAGATACATTTTTTATTCCACTGAGACGCTCTCTCTCTCTCTCTCTCTCTCTTCAACTCTCCCGCCTTGTTATATCCTAATTGGCCGTTAAGGGACGCGTAAGAAATTTATTTGATTTTCATGTATTAAGGTCATCTTATAAAAGACCGCATACTTTTCCGTCCGAATCATTTTCATTCATGAATATATTTGTGAGTTGGTTGGGTGGAAAATACTTACCGCGAAAAACTCGCTTCAGGCACGCTGTCGCATTCTTGTTGGTTAGCTCGTTTTCCAAAAAACGGGGCGGGGCAATAAAGGCGCAATCGTACTTGAAATGATTCTCGATTTCGAAATTTTCGCCGCAGCTCGTCTCGTAAACGGACTCACATGAGTAGCATCTGATGGCGTAAGCTGTTGGCATTGAATATACATATAGATATATATGTATATATATATATTGTTGAGTTTAATGGCTAAAGACAAAATGGTCAAAAGCGAACCTGTGGCCAGCAGCGTGAGGAGGGCGCCAAAGCAAAGTAAATACTGCATTTAACTGATGTTTTCGTATTAAAGAAAAACAAAGGAAAATCCAAGCTTTTTCCACAACCGGCTGTATAGAATTTAGAGCATTTATAGAACTTGTTTGGATTTATTTGGATTTTGTTGTTATATATGGAAAATCTTTATCACTTATTTTAATTGCCGCATTGGCATTTGGTTCTTTATGGAAATTTCTTATGTTGCTTTCCTTAATTGTATTTTCTCTTTTATTTTTAACTTTTTCACTCGACTCGCGGAAAGCAATTGAAACGAAACAATTTGGTTTGAAAGTGTTTGCTTGCGTCTTAGTCGGGGCATTTACAAATATATTTCTATAAATTACTCGTTTCTTTGCATATTTCTTATATTTGTATTATTTTGATGTTTTCGGCACTGTAAACTCGCGTCTTTCTTGCGTTCTATGGCTATATTTTGCTTAGATTTCCGCACCGATGTCTAACAACATTCGCCCGCTCTGTCTATAGAGATTTGTATCTTTTCTTGTTGTTGTTGTTGTTATTTTCCGGTGTGTTCTGTTTATAAAGCAGAAAACGCCTCAGCCGTCAGTCAGTCGACGGCCGCGTTCGAAATTATACTGAAAAATGCCAAAGCGTTTCCAAATTCCACTTCTGGGCTCTCACTCTCCCTCGCTCTCTCTTTCTATATATGTATGTACCTCTGTCTCACTCCTATCCTCCTCACTCTTTCGCTCGCCCGCTTGTTCCTGTCTTCGGGTCTGGGAAACTTGCTGGCCAGCGCTCGCGGGACACCTATTGAAATTGTCTAATTTTAATGAATTTCCCTCAGACACACACCGTCAAATGAATAAAATATATATGTATATTCTAGGTAGAATTTATAGCACACATATGGAGGAAGACGCCATGCGATTTCAGTTGGCTCTTAGCCCCTTTTTAATAACAGCAAAGAGAGCTAACAAAGCTGCCAAAGAGCACAAACAACTTGACAGTGTGGGTGAGTGTGTGCGTGTAGGTAGCTGCGTGTGCTAGTGTTATGTGTGGCGGGGGAGTGTGAGCAGGAGCTTTAATTACGGCCTTGGATGCAAGGACAGCTTTCACTGTGGACACATTTTCAATACATTTCCCTAAATGATGACTTCGTCGCTGTCAAAGGACGAGCTTAATAGTTAAATGATTTTACAGTTAAACGATAATAATTTAAAATAATTGTGCGGAAAAACTTATGTGTATTGCAAAATGCTTCATAACTTAATTTTAAGTTTAATTGTTTTTGTAGCACTTCGAACAATTCGATTACCTTAGGTAATGATTTTATAGAGAAATATATATTTGACTCTGTGGGATATGTGGGCTCGTTTATATATATTCTTATTAGATTTATTGAATGCAGTTCTTCCTAATGCCCGCAAGATTATGTTACAAATGAATTCCATTAAGTCGATTTTTCATTATATTTCGTGGCTCATAAGAGCTATATACAACAAATTTTGTACGGTTTCACATTTAGAATATTTAATTTTTTGAATACATCCATACTATGCCCTCAAAATTTTATTGAAATCGGACAAAAACACCGAAGCAAAAAACACTTAAGCATTTCCCATAGTATGTGGCAAAGGGCAAAAGCAGCGCAGCCGCACACCATAAGTGCGACAAGGAGAAGAAGCTTGCAAATTGTGTGTATATGTGTGAGTGTATATGTCAAGATCATATAACCTTATACGACTTTTTCCGTCTTTTGAAATATTTGGAATATTTAGAAAAATTATTTATCGGAATTTTGCGAGTGAGCCTTCGAATTCTTACAGTTTTCCCTATAAATTAGGCCAATATGAGTTCAAACAATGGAGCGAATCGCACGTATATTTGATTATTTGGCTAAATCTGTAATTGTCCAGAAGAATGTTAGATATTTCGAATGAATAAATAATATATTCGATTTCAATAATGTAGTAATAAGTAAAATAAATATAGTAAAAAGTAAATAACACATGTGTGAAGCATGTGTCATGGAAGTGCATTAATACAAAAACTTTTTCTCCGATCGATTGCTGCTATAAAAGCTATACAAAAATTTTTGTCGAAAAAATATCACACTCTCAAATATTGTGAAATCTTAAGTGTTGTGCAAAAAAGTTATAACACAAAAACTTACTCATTGTAGCTGTAATTATATTGATCTGTTGATACAGTAGTTCTATATGGTAAGATTTTGCTTTTAGTTGGTTTGATAAACAAAATTAGTAATTGGCTGCGCTATAGAAAAAGGCTATTTAATTGTCAGATTAATCGCTTAAACATGTTTATTTTAACATGTACAATTTTAACAAATGAGAACACGCAAATAATAGTATATTATATGACTTACAAGAATAATCAATCTAGAGGATTTTTAAATATGGGTAAAACTTTATAACATTTATAATTCGGCCTGAAAACTCGGATTCCCGCTGAAACAATATATATAAATATCTGTAAATTGATATATGTTTAAGAACTTTCGTTTGTTAACAAAACTAATTAAAAAAAAAATATAAAACCAAAAGAACTAAACAAATGTAATTCGGTTTAAAAGCTGTTTTAATCCACTTAAAAAAACGTTTCTTTTTTGATTTTACTTAAAATTTCAATAATGATGTACAAAATTTTGGTAATACATAAGACACATGTTGAATTTTCCAATTTGCGATTTAGGATTGGAAGCTGAAGACTCCAGTTAAATTTAGGCCAACAAGCGGGCAACGCCGAAGAACAGCAGAATAGCTCCGGCAATGGGGGCGAGGGAGGCGGAGCCGTTGCACTCGTCCTTGTTGCACACTTCGCAGCTGAGCTGCTTGAGGAAGGGCATGGAGGGATCCCCCTGGCAGCCGACCTGTGTGTTGCTGATGTCACCGAAGTAGCAGCTGCGCACGACCTGCGGATGGCCGGGCACTGAAACGGCGGCGAAATTCGTATTGTTAATTAGTTGGGTGCAATATTTGAAGAAATTCTCATTGTCAGGTAATTGCTAATTTTGGATGCACTGCGTCGTCATTTGTTGCATATTTTTCATACTGAAGCTAACAATTGCTAATCAGAGGCGTTGACATTGCCAGGTTGAGGGGCCCTGTGAGTTTTGCGGCTTTGTTGCTGATTGTTTTCAAGGTCTGTCATTGTTTCCACGTCGATTAACTGTTATTCGAATTCTATTTACATTTTTTTCTGGTAGCTTTCCACAGGCAGAACTAATTTTCTCAATTGGCGAATCTGCCTACATAATGCGCAGTTTCCATAGAACTCTAATGACTGTAAACCTACTCACATACGATACTAAAAAACAGCTACATTCAAAATAGCTGTGACTAATTCGTGGATGACTACCTGACAGCCAGCTTGATTGCCGGCGAGGCACGCTCCGCGCCTCTCAAATGTTGATGGATGCTTTGCTGTTTTCTACACTCATAAAAAAGTTAAAAGTTTAGATTATTAACAGTTACAATTGAATACGAAAACAAATTTCATATAAATTATTTACTTAGACTTAGTATTCGATACGACATCAAGGCTGGCTAAAAATACTTTCCTGTAATAATTAAAATTTTTACATATATGTACACTCTAGCTGCTGAAATTTACATTGGGCTTTGTACTTTTGTACGAAAATAGTTTTGTTCAATTCAAGCATTTTTTCTATTGATGAATTTTCTAGAGAAAATGTTCTAGGTGCGCAAAAGTTGTATGGTTTCTAAAAGTTGTATGACACAGATATATATTGAGAACAAATTAGTTTGATTATGGATCTTTGTTTATTAATTTCAAGTATTCATCTTTGTGCTTACAAAAAAAGCAGAAAAAAACGCGAAAATTAAAAAATGTTTCCCATTAGTAATAATAATTCTGATGTCATTTTCAGCAACACTTCCTAGCCTTCAACTAATACATCTACGATGACTCCAATTACACTCACTGCAGATCAACAATGAATTGTATATGAGAAAATGTAATTTTAAAATAAATTGCAAATGAAATTAGATCAACACTTAAAGGCTTCTGTCAACTAAATCCATTAAATGAATAATGAATAATAAAACTCAATATATGTACTTTTCGCTGGAGAACAGCCCAGAGCTCGTCAAATAACATCTAACAGCTTTACAAGCCAAGCACGAATGCGGTAATTGCCTTAAAATGCAAAACAATAAGCTCAGTTCAACGGTTCGAATAACACGATCCCCACATCTGTTCCCATATTTAAAAAAAAGTGATTTGGCATAATTAAATAAATATACATATATGCATACTAATTAACAGAAACCTTATGGAATGCTGTCTTATAAGACATTAGATCACTTTTATAAAAATATGAAACAAATATCTTTTTTAATGGAAAGCAATGCGAAATTTTTGCTGCTCGTTTTTAAAAAATACGAAATTCGTTGTCTGATATATAATTAAAGTATTTTCTCATTGCGCATACGCCTAGTTGGTTAATTGTACGCCCAAATGACGGACGCCGACGTCGACGCCGACGCCTACGCCCAGCTCAAGCAGTACGATTAAAACTAATCAAGCTAATTGAATGTACAACAACTTGACGCTTATGACATCATGTTAGATGCGTGCGGCGGAGTAGCTAGTTGGGCATTTAGCAGAAAACTTACCGCCATCGATGGTCTTCTTCATGCAGCCGGTGGCATTGCGGACGGGTAAGAAGGTCTGCAGGAAACGCGGCGGGGCAATGCGGGCACAGTCCAAGAGCAGGCTGTCATCAGCCTCAAACTTCTCGCCACACTTGGGACTGCTGACAGATTCGCACTGATAGCACTTGATGGCATAGCCTGCAAAGGGAATTTACTGTGCTGGGTGCTGCTTTACTCTTCACACAGACTCTTAGACATACCCGTGCAGGCCAGGGCGGCCAGAATGGCCACGGCCAGAACGCGCCCCACTTTGGAAACCATTTTGTAGCACTTTGTAGCGAAATGAAATAAATAAGCTGTAAGGAAACGAACTGAATTATATAGATCTGAACGGCGCGGCGACAGTTGAGCGTCTGATTTGTACAAATTTCAAAACTTAGCCAAACAGACGCGCACTCACACTCAAACTGGCACTCAAACTGACACTCAGTACTCCCAGTACTCATACTGACACTCACGCTCATACACATTTTCGAGTGAGTCTTGTTTCATTTGCGTGTTTTTCTTTGCACTTGGGCAATTTTGTATTCAATTTTGAGTTTAGAATTTTTGGCTTGACACACAAACATCTAAGCATATGACCGCAATTTGTTTATGTCTGTATATATGCACGATATATAAGTATATTACGATTTAGAGAACTTGTTTTCGGTGATGTCAGACGTATTTTGTCTTATTTATTTACTTTTTCCTTTGGACACGATAAAAAGACAAGCAGACACGCAATATCATTGCTTTTTTATTTTTTTGAGCATAAGTATTAAGTCTGATTTATGTCATGTTGCCTATGCATCATTATGCGGCATCTCATTTGTATGCAACCCATTCAGCATTTCACGCCCATAGTACAAACGGGTTTTGTTTTCATTTTCTAAACTTTTGTTGAGGGCATTATCACTGTAACTCAATGGAGCGAGAGCATTACCTAAC